AAATTCACAGCAATTCTCCAGTCATTGATGTGCAAATTGCAATCAATGAAGTTGAAATAGAAGGGAAAATCACGAATTCAGAAACAGAACCAACGAGTGGTGGGGCAACAGTCCTGAGTGCGTCCATAAACCCTAAACCCTAAACCCTAAAACCCTAAACCCTAAACCCTTAACCCTTAACTCTGAATCTGACACGGACATTCGCTAATGGAATATCAGCGCCCAGGTAGTTCTTGGGGTTTAGGGTTTAAGATTTAGGGGTTTGAGTTTTGCTTTCGCAGGCAGCGAAACTTCTACTGGAGATGAAGAGGAGGAAGATGCACCAGCAGCAGAAGATATATATGGTAACACAGAAAAACATATGGAGGAGGAGAAAGGGGAAAATGTATCAAGCGAAGAACAAGAAGAAAGAAGAGAAGCAGAAGCCAAAGTAGATTCAGCTAAGAACCCTGGTACAAGTGCATCCGATGCAACAGCAGCAGCAGCAGCAGCAACAGCAGCAGCAAAAGAAGCAGCAGCAGCAACAGAAGCAGCAGACGAAGCAACAGAAACACCAGCAAAAGAAACAACAACAGATGATGATGCTTCTCTACCCCCAAGAGAGAAACTTGAATCAATGCTGAGGAAAGCGCTGGGGGGCCGAAGCACATTGAGACAAATAAGGAGCCTCTTGCGCTCTCATGACGATGAAACAAATGAAGATGAGTCTACGAAATTAAACAATAAAAATTTGAATAAGAATATTCATAAACTTGAACAAGAAAAACAGAAACACTCACCCACAACCAGCGAAAACAAACCACCATCAGCTTCTTCTCCTGAGACGGAACAGCAGCAGCAACAGCAGCAGCAGCAACAGCAGCAACAACAGCAGCAGCAGCAGCAGCGGCAACCGAAAGATAAGGATGAAGGAGAAAAGAAAGAAAACAGAAATAGAAGCGAAAACACTCAACTGAAAGCTGAGGAGGGGGAGGGGTCAAAGGGATGCTGCAACGCGGCGCATAGATCAACGAGAGAAGAAGAAAAGGCAGAAAAAGAAGAAAAAGAAACAAATAAAAAAGAAGAAATTGATGAAAAAGATATTACACTCGCGGCACCCGTGCGTACACTTGTAGATAACCCATACTTTGATCCTCGTCTTCTGGAGGAAGAAGAATTTCTAGGGTTTAGAGAAGGCGACGTCATTCTCTCTATTGGCAAATACAGTAAACCCTAAACCCTAAACCCTAAACCCTAAACCCTAAACCCTAAACCCTAGAGACTCTACAAACACACTCGTACAGTATGAAGAACAGGAGATGAGGCAGTGGAATCATACATAACATACAATAATACAGCATTATATAATAAACCCTAAACCCTAAACCCTAAACCCTAAACCCTAGGAACAAGCACGTATAGTGTAAATAACAGGATATGATGTAGTAGAACCATGCAAACCTCACAGTAATATATCTTGATACACTAAACCCTAAACCCTAAACCCTAAACCCTAAACCCTAACAACACGCACTAAACTTCGCTCTACAGAAGAGAAATGTCTCAGGCAAGCATTGCGTATGCACGGGGCTTTAATCTTAAACCCTCATGATCCAAATGCAACCAAAACCCTAAACCCTAAACCCTAAAACCCTAAACCCTAAACCCTAAACCCTAGAAAAGATGGGTTTTGTATGTGTTGCAGATGTGGCGGACGATGGAACGGTTTCTTTTCGGTGCGTCTATTGTTATTGTCGTTTTGTTTTGTTTTTTGTTTTCTTTTTTTTTGTTTTGTTTGTTTTGTCTTTTGTTTTCTTTTTTGTTTTGGTTTTTGTTTT